GAAATCAATTCCTTCAACTTGTTTGAACCCCTTGGTAACAAGTCTGGCCTTAAATTTTTCTATGGCTCTATCTGATTTTTTTCTTTTAAAAATCCATTTAGACCCAATTGTCTTGCACCCAGGAGGAAGATCAACTAATTCCTATGTCCCATTAGAGACAATAGAATATCTATTTCACTTTTAACAACTTACTTTCACTGTTTAGCCTCTTTCGAGGCCATAGCAGATCTGTATGAAATAGGACCCTCCTCGATATTGTAAGTGATAAAGTCACTTCCAAAATCTTTGATGATCCTAGCTATCTTACTCCTTCTAGGTTCTTATAAATCATCTGATCTTTCAGATTCAAATTTAGAACTATCTGCCTGCACATTCATCATCCTTTTCACATGACCAGGAATAGAAGTTGAGACAAATACTGGATTTTTATTAGAAATATTTTGAGGCATTCTAGTTTTCATAAGGAAAACATCCTCAAAAAATATTGCTTCATGAAATTCAACAATTGTATGAACATCTATGATTGGAATTTCATATTTGATCACTAAGAATCTATAAGCATAGGTATTTTCTACATAACCAAAAAAGATAGAGTCTGTTATCGTAAGACCTAGCTTTTCCCTCTTGTGTTCTGGGATTTGCAATTTTGCTAGATACTCCCACACTTTAAGGTATTTCAAGCTTGTCTTTCGACCTCTCTAAAGTTCAAAATGGACTACTTTCTTTATGTTTCTGAGGGATTCTATTCAGAATATGACAAACCATATTCAATGCCTTTCCCCACATATATTTAGGAAGTCTTGAACTTTCTAGATTATTAATCATATCTTTTAAGGTTATATTATTTTTTTAGCTACACCGTTAGACTGAGGAAAATAAGGAGCAGTCTCCTAAAGCACTACGCCAAAAGATTGATATAAAAAAGTAAACTCATTTGATGTATATTCTCCACCTCTATCAGATCTTAACCTTTTAGGTTTCTTGCCAGTTTAAGTTTCAGCTTCATTCTTAAAAATGATAAATTTTTCTTGAGTTTCATCTTTAGTTTTAATCAAGTAAACATAACAATATTTGCTATAGTTATCTATAAAGGTGATAAAATATTTTTTTATGTCTTTGGTCAAAACACCATTAAATTCACAAATGTCAGTATGAACTAAATCAAGCAACTCAGAGTTTCCATCAAGCGATTGAAAATGTTTCCTTGTTTGTTTAGTTGTTGCACATACTTGACATTTCTTACTATGATCTAACGAGCGTTTTGAAATCATATTAAGATTCATCATTCTTTTTACAAAATTAAAATTAATATGACCAAAACGTTTGTACCAAATATCAGATGATTTAATATTATTACTAACAGGATAATTAGAAATAAAAATTTTATTTATTTCAGAACTAAGAACAGGTTCTGCTCTAACCTTATACATTCCATCAGAATCATAACCTTTAAAGATAAAAGATCCATCATGTGACATAACTACTTTATTACATTTAAAAGAAAACTCATAACCTTCTCTAACTAAAAACGAACCACTCATAATGTTACGTCGAACAACAGGAATATGATGCACCTTGTGTAATAATAGAACTCGTCCTTAAGGAAACTTCAGGTCCACTCATCCATATCTTAATACTTTAGATGCAGTTTAGTTCCCCATCTTCTTAGTATTTTCATTTGCAAGCTGGTAATACGCAAACATTAATTTGTCAACACAAATGTGTACGTTTGCACCAGTGTCTACCAGCCATTCATTTGGTTCATAAATATTTGGTAATTTAGGGTTAATATGCTCAGTCATAACCATGTTAACCTGAGGCACACTAGTGGACCCTGGATTGGCTTTAGCTTTCTTTATAGGACAAGCTTTAGCCAAATGTCCATCTTATCCACAATTCCAACATGGTTTGTTTACTTTTGGTTTCTTTTGGATCTTAGATTTAGCTTTAATTTTGTCATCAAGTTTGCCATTAGGTTTGTTTTTATTCTTTTTCCCAGAAGTTATAACATTTGTTTTAGGTTGGTGCTCAATAGGCACAACATGTTTCTGATTCTTATGATCTTCCTTAATAGCTATGACAATCATCAAGTCATCAAGATTTATTTTTTCCTTACAATGCTTGATAGACATTCCAAAAGTCTTCCAAGAATTAGGAAATTTGTTGATGATTGCCAATAACTTAAATTTTTTTAGGAAGCTCCATTTCAACTTCTCGAAGAGCATGAAGAATGGACTAAAGTTCATGTGCTTATTCTGTTATAGATTTGTCCTCGACCATTTAAAAGTTTAAGAACTTGGAAACAAAATATTTTTCAATACCGAAGTCTTCAATATTAAATTTTCTGTCCAGTTCTTCCTATAATGTATTTGCAGTGGCCAAAGAAGAACAATACACATCGAAGAGCACGTTGGACATAGCCAACAAAATTCCTTCTCTGGCTATTTGATCCTTCTCCGTCCATTGTGCAATTTTATCTGCACTATTAGGATGTTTTTCATCTAGTTTTGGGTATTTTGTTAATATTATTGCCAACAACCCCTTAGTTGTCAGCCAAATCTTTATACGTTGTTGTCAATATTTGAAGAACTAACTAAAGAACTTTTCAGGTATTCCGGACATGTCTATTTTAGAGGTATATGAACCAAAACCAACTCTAGAAACAGACGACATAACTTCAATTAAAAATAGTTTCTTCAAGATTATTAAAAAACATGCCTAACAATAAATCCGAAATAGCATAGAACAAACCATACAGGAAAGAAAGAAAAGAGCAAAAAGTTAGAAACATCATATTAAATACACTTCAAGTTTGAAATACTTTACAGAAGTGTCGAATCGCCCTCTTAACAGAGGACTGGCCTTGAAGAAACTATGCCCCACCTACGGTTACATTAGGTCTGCACAGTACTTCCAAGGATGAGACGACTGCAGTCTAAAGAACTGCTCTCTTCTTGTGAAAACCTCGACTACTTCTTCAGTTCACTAGAATCTCCAATACTTAACAGCTTATAGAATTATTAAAAGAGGAATAAGACATAAGATTTTGCTTTTCTGTGTTTCTCAAATGATCAGAAGAAGCCCTTTTATAAGGTTCATTGGAGACAAAGATTTGAATTTTAGTTATTGCAATGTTTGTAATGTCTACAATAAAACATATTCAATCCTTGTAACGTTTGTAACGTACGAAACGTTCAGCTGGTTTTAAGTGAGCACATGCAAAATGTTTAAGTTCGTTTAAAGGCAGCACGTGCAAAAAGAGAATGCGCCGGCACACGCGCCGGCCCACACGAATGGTCCCGTTCGTACATGCGCACTCACTTGCTCTCACGCTTGCTTATATACTAATACAAGTGTAAAATACTAACACATTTGTTATACCATATATAATACGCGTGTTAATTTAAACCAACAAAAATGCATTCAGTTAGCCAATGTGAGACTAAAGCTCACATACTACTTATTAAACACATTTTAATTTTAATCTATATAATCCAATCATTAAATGATATCTTTCCATAAAAGCCCTCTAAGATTCATTTATTTCAACAATTAGAACCATTACACTCACTGTTCGTCTCTGCTATCAGAGCCATCCATGCAACGTATGGATTTTTATCTCTATTGCCTTGGGTATGATTCCTCCGTTGCAGAGATGTCGAAATTGAATCTTCTAATTGTGTGATCATCCAGGTAATCTTTCCATGCTGTATCCAGATACCATGAACCTTTGAACATTGCTCTGATACACCTGTTGGGGATTTTACTCCCCCTACTATAATCTCTGCAACTCAGAAACCAAATCACAACCTCAAAAGGTTGTAATAATAGCAAGGAAGAAGAAGAACATCGAGATTTATGTATTTTTATTGAACAAATTTAACTTTTATTTACTGGGTATAAACGAGAAATGCACTATATATGAGGAAGAACGTTGCAAAATGAATCACTCATCTCATATTTCAACTTGTTGATGTAGAAGCGATAACGTAATTATTAGATTTGTTCTGATAGAGAAAATTAACTTATGGCAACCATGCAAAGTATAGTAGCTTGAAGAGAAATCTAAGCATGAGAGGAAAAACAATGACAATCCGGTAGAAAGTAAAATCATCAATTACAAAGGCAGAAGATAAACGATTTGACAATTTAACCATGTCAATAGGGAGAGAAAAGGGACTTGACTTTATTATGGGAGGTAACAAGATGTTTGTCTTCCTTTTGTGTTCTAGAAGAACCCTACAAAAAAACCCTGATCTTAATCTCAATTCTCGAAAGAGCCACACAAAAAACTTTACAACTTTCCTTTTGTTTCTTCTCTTCACTTTATTTAGCTTCTCATGCAATTATGCAGATTTTCTTTATGGTTCTTGCTGGCTTGATTTTGCCTTGAATCTCTGAATGAGTATTTATAGAAGTTTTCTCCAACGATTAGTTCGTGTATGACTTTTTTCTTTGACTTATATTGTCAAATTGCAATCCTCTTTTTAGAACTAAATTCCAATTGAAAGTGTTTATTTGCAGTTAAAGAGTCAAATTTTAATCGTAATCAGTACAAGGTTAGCTTAATACAAGATAAATCCTAACACAAGCTTCAAGAGGTAGAAAAGAATTTTACCTCCTGACTTTTTAATTGGAGAAGAGCGTAAAGAAAAGTTTAATCTAAAGAATAGGCATCACTGTTAACAAAGTTAAATTATATTAAAAAAAAAAGATTTTAGACTGTGAAAAATGTTGAATCAATCTGAGAAATATGAGTTCTGAAGTTTCTGCATTTACTTCAGTGATAAAATGGATGATAAACATCAGCTTGAACTAAATCCTAGCAACAAATAAAAATTATTAATTGTATGACAACAAAAACACTTATCTTTTAATTTCTTGCGAGAAAAAAAATCATTTTTCTTGCGAGAACAAAGCCTCATTAACTTTGAAATATGAAAGGGTATGTTTTCCTTTGCCATAATTCCGTAACATAATGGGGAAAAGAATTTCACGTCCTAACATTAAAAATCTCAATCAGGATGAACAAACAATGTAATCTACTATATATTATTACAAGAAAATAGACGAGCTTAAGAAATAGATTCTAGCATTACAGGGGGCGAAAAAAGAAATCTCCGAGTAACCTGTACATCAGATCAACAAGAATCGACTTGGTTCTGAATTTCCATTCATATTGCCATAATCTTCATCATTACAATCGTTGAGGTGGGCATCGATGGAGTTTGAATTCCAATGTGATCTTTTATGACCACCCAAAGCTTGGCCTGAAGGAAATACCTTGCCACAAAATGAGCATTCATGATGATCCTTGCTCCCCTTTTTCGGTTTTTTCACGGTTTTCACACCCAGATTTCTATCGAGATTGTGGCTCGTTCGATGACCTCCAAGAGCTTGGTAAGAATTGAAGGTCTTATCGCAAGTCTTACACTTGTATCTTCTTCTCTTATCGGAATCAATGGCGTTATAATCTTCATCATCGAACCGAGGGAATCTCCTTCCCCTGCCTAATTCGGAGACACCATAACTCACATTTCTCTTCTTGAGCTCATCCGAGTACTCTTCAAATGAGTTTCTTGAAAGCATCACAAGGATCATGGCACCATCCTCCTTCTCTTTGTCGTCGCAATTTTCCTCCATCCTTTTCGGTCTACTTCTGTTTCTTGATGAGGTTGACGCTTCTATATCACTTTCGGATTGGCCAGCTGAATCCACATTGGTGAAGGCTTTGTCGTCCATTTAAAACAGGGGAAATTGGGGGAGAATGAAACAGCGGTAGAGCTCAAAAGGGTGGACAGGATTCAATCGGATCCTTGCGTTTCTCAGCGTTTTGAATCGATGTGCGAGGAGGCCATTTGAGATTTATTGCGTTTCTTTTGAGATGGAAATGAGGCTAGAGGCCGTTTTTTAATCTCAATTTTGCCCTGTTCGTTCTAATTTTGTTCTCTGTTTTCCTTTTTTTGGGGGGGTGTAATGTGTTGACGGGGAGGAGGAGATCCATGCATTGAAGCAATGCTGCTGTTACTAATAAAAGGAAAAGAGAAATGGTTTTATGAATTTGACTATTTTGGGCTGTTTGATCTGATGGTGGATGTTTTGCCGCGTTGGAGGTTTGCCAACAAAGGAAAAGCTAGCTAATTCTTTGCTTTGAGAGATGGAGAGGGATTTGATCAGTTGATATTCATGAAACATGGAACAGCGAGTTGTCACAGTGTTTGGTAGTTTCTTAAATTTGCCAAAGGAAAACTAGAGATACCTAAAAAAAAAAGGGAAAAATTAGAGGCTGTTGTATAATTGTTTGGGGGACATTCTTTAATTCTGCTTTAATTAGTTTAACTTTTTAATTAAAAGCTTTCAAGACAGTCCGTTTTTACGATAACTATAACAACACGAAATTCATTGTAGACTGTGTTGTATTTGTTGATAAATTTTTCATAACAAACTTAGAGAAATAAGGAGAACAAAAGGATAAAATTAGGGCCGTCCAAATTGCCCAGTAATGCGGACTTGTCGGGCTGGACTCAGGTTTTGATCCACTAGGTTGGGGCGTGGGAGAGTGTCTTGGGTTAGGTAGAGTAATTCAGATCCTACCCGGACCCCTCGATGCTTATAAATAGCCAAAAAAATCTGGTCAGGCTAGGCAACCTCGCCGGACACCCGGCATTTACCAAAATGGGCACAAATGGCTATTTTGTTTGTCTTTTAACCAAAATACTCCAAAAATGGTTTTAAAAAGGACCAAAATTCTCAGTACATTCATTTACAATGTAGGTAGAGCTAGGAAATACATCATCACGTTTGTCTTGTTTAAAAATTTATGTTTTAAATTGAAAGAAGATGGTGAATTCGAAGATATAATTAGAGATTCATTTTGACTTGCTTTTTAAAAAATTTCTCTCCAAACTTTTCAATGTAATGTTATGAAATATTATAATAAGGAAAAAAGATAAATTTGATTTTTTTCATTTTCAAAGCTTAAATTACCGATGTTCTCTAACTTCTTGTATTTGAACACCTAAACAAAAAAATGATAATTTACGTATCACAACATAGTGGATTGATACCATTTGCTAAATATTTAAAAGAGTTGTGTTTTTTATTTTATTTGAAGATTCACATAATGGGAAAAATATTGAAAACTTGTTAATGAAAGAAATTAGAAAATTAGATATTTCTAAAAAAAGTTTTACTCGATAATGAAAGTAATAATAATGTACCTATAGATCATATACAAACAATTTTACTATTGGCTGTGTATTTTTTTATATTAGATACTTTTGTCATATTTTAAATTTAACTGTGCAAAGTGTACTTAAGGAAATTAAAATAATGATCCAAAAAGTTGGGGATGCAGCTTATTGTATTACTAGTTCTATATTAAGGGCAAAGAGATGGAAACAACTTTGTAAAATAAGTAATTATAAAGCTAGAAAAATTCTAATAGATTTTGACCATAGCTAGAATGCCACTTATTTAATGTTAAATGTAGCAATAAAATATAGAGCAACTATAGATGAATTTATTAATCTGTATTTGTAATGCTCTTCAGCTAGAATTCATGATCATGAATTGCGAATTGACATTTATTACTTGTGCAAATTGAAAGTACGCACTACGGAGGGGGGGGAGGGGGGGGGGGGGGGGAGGGGGGTGAATAGAGTAATTGCTAATCTAGTTCGATATCGATGTCAAATTAAAAAATTTACAAAGCAATATTCTAACAATATGATGTACAACAAATTATATGTAAGAATATGCAAGGATAAACAATATGACAATAGGCGATATAAACAAGAGAACAAGATATAAGAAAAATATATGCCAAAGATAAAACGCAAACACAAGAATTGATCACGGAGTTCGGTCAACCCACGACCTACGTCTCCACTCCTCACCTCGAGGATATTCTCCACCATCACAAAATAACTATACAATTCGGTTTCTAAAGCTCACCGATAAACTTTTACAATGCACATGATTGTCAATCCCACAAGACAAACTCCTCTAAGTGTTGGACTACTCATTTCACCTTACTCAAGTGTTTGGATTTACGACCTCTCCCTAGGCTTCATAACCAACCCACTTATCTTGGAATTGACCCCGGTCTCTTACCAACCACTCCTCTAAATATTCTTATGTATTACAACGTGTTACAACAATAAGTGCAAATAAATAATTTTGTTCTCTAAACAAGTGAGAACGAATTGAAAGCTTTCTCAATGAAACAACCCCACAAGACAAATATACAATATGTGAAATACTAAAGCTCAAATGGTTGTGTGTGTGGACAATGAGTATAATAAAATCAAAGTTAAACTCAAATCAATCTAGCACAAATATATGAGAATCAAAATAATAAATAGCTAGAAGATGAGTTTAGAAAAAACTTATCCAAATAAAGAGAGGTAGATGATTTTAGGATGAACGCCTCAAAAACAAAATTGAAGATCTTTCTCTTTGTGAAACTCTCTTCACATAAACAAACTTGATTTTTCTCAAAAACCCTTTAAACAAACTGCCAAAACTCTTTTGTAAACTTTCTTGGTGAAAACAAATGAGTTATGAGGGCTATTTATAGTCTCTCAAAAGAAATCAATCAAACTAGCTGATATGCAGAAAAAATACAAATCAGTCGACTGGTTGAGTTCATCGGTCGACTGATCAACTAGCCATTACAGTAAAGGAAACAGATAGCCCAGATTTGGTCGACTGATAAGAACAATCAGTTGACTGAAAACACGTGATCGGTCGACTGATATAGGTAATCGGTCGACTGAATAGACTATAAAACTCAGGCTGTAAAAACTGGTAGGTCGACTGATGGGATTTTTCGGTTGACCGATAAGCAAATACACAGATACTGAATTTAGCTGAAAACTTAATTTCTAAAATCAATTTAAAATAATAAAATAACTTCAAAATTAGTAAAATTTGGAGAAACATTTATATATGTGAAAATAAACATATCGGAAAAATAATTTCTAAAATAATATTTCTTATTTGTGAAAACACATTATTGAGTGAAATCGTTAAAATACGGAGTCGTTAAATGCTCGATTTTGATAAACTCATTCCAAACAAGTTTTGAGATAGATTAATAGACTTTTAAAAAGATGTAAAATGATGTCATTACGTCTATAATCCAAAAAAAATATATTCTCAAATGGATGTACGATATGATATATTGAGAAAACGTGTACGAATATGATTTAAGCTTAAAGTATAAACACATAAAGTATAATACTAAACTAGAAACTATATACCCAAGCTAAAAGTCTTCATTTGAACTCGATGTTGGACAATCCTTAGCTTGGTAGAAAGGATGAAGCACTATCTCGTATTTGACTTGAATTGTGACGATTTCATTTCAATATCCTTCCAATCTCCTTGAATATCGTTGTTAGCACTCAATTTCAACCTAGATGCTTATTGGAGGAAACCACAAGTACTAAAAGTCAAGATTAGAAATAGTTTGTTAATCATCAAAATAAGATTAGACAATAGGTTCATAAACATGAGACCTAACACAAATGATACGCTTCAAGTTTCTTTTATGAAGCTATTGAGCTATTGTTCAATTATTTGGTTGTTATTGCTCAACCATTACTCTAGCTGCGTTACCAGTTTTAAATATTCAAAGTTTCTTAATACTTGCCGCATGGATGATTATTTTGCACACATGATTGCTAAATTGAAAAGAAAATTTAATAAGTATTTTAGACACAATTATGTTATTTATGGTTTTGATATTCTTATTGATTCATGTTTGAAGGGTGTGAATCTTGAAAATGTCATGCATTCTTTATACGAAAATATGATAATAGATCATAATGATGAGACTGTTACTGCTCTTAGTTATTAGAATACGTCAAACATTATTTTAAACAATTACTTGAACAATATAGTGGTAGATATGGTTCCAGATCTCAACAACCATGTGGTATGATATCTAGCCTGAGTAAAAGTAAGGGTTCCTATTCAACTTCAAGAAATATGATGGTAAACATGCTAATCGATAGGGATATTGGATTGTCATTAAGGGAAGTTTCCAAACTTGAATAGTATTTATCTGCACCTTTAGTTAAATATTCAGTTAATGCACTGAACATTCATCTTTTATCATGATGGAAGATACATGGATTGACTTCATATCCTGTGCTTTCTATCATGGTTTGTGATTTACTAACAATACATGTTTCTCCTATAGGTTTAGAAAGAGCCTTTAGCTTTTCAGAAAGGTTTATTGATGATCACAAAATAACACTGAATTTGAATACAGATCAGACAACAATATGCTTACAATATTGGTGAATGTCCAAAAAGACACATCAAGGCATTGAATGAATGAGCAGCTACTCTTGAAGCAATTGAATATTTGGAGATAGCAGATAAAAAACAGAAAAGTGTTTGTAAATTTTTATTTTTAATTGTAAATCTGCAATTTAATTTTTTGCAAAGTGTTTCAAATAATATTGATATAGGTAAGTATGTGCTAACATATTTGAGAAGCACCCAAACTATTGTGATGCTACAGATTTTTTAAAAATATTTTAATTGTTAGTGATCAATAATAAGATAGAAAATTTTTAATTTATTAAATTCTATAAAATTTGCTTATTGTTATTTTGAGTGATGAATAATAAAATATAATTTTATGCAAAACTTTTTAACTTTTTTTAAAAAAAATTTAAATAAAAATTTTTGACCGGGCAACTTGGTGCCTGACCTGGATGAAAATCCAGACCCAGATCAGACCCCGTGGCCCGAGCAGAGCTGGGCTTGCATGACCTATTTGAACACCCCTAGACAAAATGACATCTAAGTGGGCAAAGGCTTTTGCATGAAAATTGAATTATTGAGATATGAAGCGTGCTGTGACTACCAATTTACTATTTAGTAATTCCGAATGCAATAATACTTGCTTTATTAGGAGTTCACAAAATTGCTTTCTATTTTCTTGAATATGGAG